TTTTTTTTTTCCTTCTTTCTTTCTTTCTTTACAGATTATTCTGTTTTATTGTAAGAATGAATGAATTCACATGCAAGGTGAAAAGAAACAAAGAAATTAAAACAAAACAAAATAATAATAATAATAAATAATAAAAAATTACATATTATATTCTTTGAGAGTTTTTATTAAATCATTATGAATGTTTTTTCTTTTGCATCGGGATTACGCCGCAGCAAGTACGTCGTACGGTCAAAAAAAAAAAATAAATAAATTTATTTACGTATTATCAAATAATCCTATTTTACATTAAAAAAACACACATGTTTCCTTGGCTGAATATTTATTTTAGATTATGTTCACTTAAAAAAGAAATAGAATTGTTTTGTTGAATTCTTATTTGATATCTTTTCAATAAACTCAAAAACTGGCATATAAACAAACATTTGTTACATATTTTTTTTTTTTTTCTGCGATATGATATATCATGTTGCATATATCGATAGCCCTTTTTCATCTTTTTTAAAAATAAGCCAACCTTCTATTTTATCATTCGCGATTTCCGTTTTTTCTAAAAATTCTTTTTTTTTTACCCCATTTCCCCAATTATTTTCAAAAAAAAATTCTAAAATAAAATAATTTTTTTTTTTTAGGGGGTGGTTTTAAACTATTAATTGCTGGTAACTGGTTTAATATTGATCCATTTATCTTGATTCTTTATAAAAAAAAATTATATATATATATATATATATATATAAAACACGTGCCTTTATCCTAATTTTAAGTTTGTCATTGTTCTTTTTATTTTTTTATTAATAGGAAAATCTTACCGCATCACCATTGGTTACACTACGTTTAAATTTTGTCATCCCCCGTCATCATTCGTCACAACCCTTTCAAGTTTTACTTAGGAAATTTGAAATGATGAAATCTTATTTGTCATACTCATTTATTTGTCACCAAGTATTATGTAATCCCCTTAATAATGTCGTACGATTTTACTAAAATTAAATTTTAGGTTTACGGTTTATAAGTTTTGATTATAGGGTCTAAAAATGGGTAAAAAAAAAAAAGAAATAATACGATAATACGATAATAACGCGATTTCATGGATTTCATACCGGACTAAAGACGGAGTAAAAAAAAAAAGTCCTATACTGTAATCTGAGTAAAGACGGAGTAAAAAAGTCCTATAATCTCCATGATTAAACATTAAAACAAACCAATTTTTTTTTTTTAATTATAATTATAATAATAATAATAATAATAATAATAATAATTTCGGAATTTTTATTATTTGATTGTTTAAAAAAAACGAACCCAAATTTAGAATACAAGACAAAAAAGAAAATGACAAAAGAAAAATAAAATAAAATAAAATAATAAAAAAATAAAATAAAAGAATAAAAATAAAAACAAAAAAAAAAGGAAAACAAAGAAAACATAAACATCATAAGATATATAATGTAAATATTGAGAGGAATTCAATGAATGAATTAAATAAAGTTGAAATCATTATTTAGTTTATGTTTACACGAAAAAAAAAAAAAAAATAACAATGAAAAAATTTTTCTTATTATTATTATTATAATAATTATTATTATTATTATTATTATTGTAATAATTATTGAATTGATGTTATTGTTATCGGTAAAATAGTTATCTCGTAAATCTTTATATAATGTAATAAATTGTCCACGTTTGTTTTTTTTTACAACCAAAAGAAAATAATTTATTGGTTTTTACGCTGGACCCGGATTTAAAGGACGCGCATTTACATGCATATGTGCACTTGCCTTATTGCCTTATGTCGCTACCGCTTTTTTTTTTATTATTGTTTAGATTGTTTAGTAAAAAAAATATATAAATCACGAATCCTGTGAATCCCACGAATCAGAGTTTAAAATGATTGCCTAGATTATATTTAAATATTTGAGACCGACTGTATAACTGTTTAAGTGTATTACACTTGCATATACCTGTCTCTTATACACATCTAGATGTGTATAAGAGACAGTGCATATACAGTACGTAATATAATATATGCGAGTCAAGTTTTAGTCGAAGATCAAAGAGAGGTAAATTTTGCAGGAAGATACAATCATTAATCTTTTTTTTTTTTAAAAAAAAAAACTGATCGCACTGATCTCATCTATGTCATCTATGTGGATCAATCCTTTTATAAATAAATGTTTAATTGTATTTAATTATTTAATTGTATGCTGTTAAAAGTTTGTCAGTTACATTGTTGATTGTTACAGATAGTAAACTAGTAAATTTATGTCAGAACACGTACAAAAATTAATTATTTGTTAAGTCAAATAACCAATTAATGAAGTGGATCTTTTAAATATAACTTTGTGTAATTTTGAATTCATCTTAAAGAACTTCTATTTAGAAATAAATCATTTTATGCGCCACTTTTTTTTTTTACCCATAGATTGGATAAACCTATTGGTTAAACCTATAAATTTACAGATCATGAACCATGAAATCTCTGATTCATGAAATCAAGTTATCAGTAAAGTATAAAAATTCGACATAATGATTGATGTTCGATTATTCGATATAATGATTTAATGATTCTAGTTCAAAATCCGACAAAATCCGAATATACTTTATACTTACGTTTTTAAAATGTCATTTATTTATCGATAATAAAAGATGGTCAGTCATGTGCAAATAATCTTTTATAAAAAAAAATTTTTAATATTGTGTTACTATAATAAATAATATTTCACTTAACTAAGCTTAGTTTTTTACTTTGAATTACACGGAATTACACGCTAAAAAAACTTTCAAAACGCCAAGTATTTACATTTAATTTTATTTTTAAACCTTTTTTGGTATTAAAATTATTAAGTAATCATTTAAACATGTAAATAACATAAATAACAATTAAAATGTTTGTACAAGAAAAAAAACGCGCGAGATAAATATAAACACGTGAAAAAAATAATAAAAAAAAACAACGCGAAATTCACACGTTATATCGGTAATTCGGTATCGGTAATATCGGTATATACAATGAAAATATCTTATACGACGGACAATCAATGTTTGAATGCAATAATTTTTTTTTTTTATTCTCAGTATTTTTAATTTTTTTTTTATAATAAATTATAATTTTTTTTTCTTATTCTTAATTAATTAAAATCATAAAACTAAATAATATTGAATTATGAGAAAAAAAAAAAAATAAAAATCTTAAAAAAAAATTTTGAATTTTTTTTTTTTTTTTGCTATAT